TGTAAGGGGGTGGTTCATTTGGGGTGTATGGAGGGATGGCTCGCCCATCGATTACCGGGAAATAACACCTCTTGCCCGCCACAGTACGTATCCCATCACCCTCTGTTACCCGGTTCATTCACTAATACAGATACAGTCGATGTCATGGATCGTTCAGTGCTCTCTTACGCTCATCCGCTGTTGAAAATACTACTGCCGAGTCGACAGCAGAAACACCTCTCGATGCCACATACACACTTGTAGAAGAAACAAGGGTTCCAACAACACCTCCACAGCTTCGGTCAACCCCACCTACCCGGCGTTCAGACCGTCTTCAGGTCTCAAGCTCATCTCTTATTCGTCGATCGCCTCGATCGAGGCGGGTTCCCGATCGCTTCCGACCATAGTCTAGGCTTCAGATGGACGAGAGCTGAGTGATGAATACACGAAACCATTTCATATACTGCATGAGATTCGCCCTGGGGCTATGTACACCGTATTCAGCACCGTCGTGAGTAGACACAAACAGTAGTCCATTTTAAATCTCATTGAGGATGCATGACATTAAACCGGTTGGAGTTTGCGGGGCAGTGCATGAGCAGACATGGTTGGGCCGTTGCAGGGCCGGCTCCACCGCGGTGATCTATGTCTAACCGCAACTTTGAACGCTTGACCACCAAGGAGATTGGACAACCGTATACACAAACAGCCATGCTCGGCTCGTAAGGTCAGTGTCAAGCTTGCTCCGCAGGGAGTCAGCAGTAACCTTCCATCTCTGCGACCTCATTATAAACATAGTGATTACCTCAACGTCTCTGGATACAATATTTCCGCTGCTCAATGTAGCATTGAGCAATACGACGTTGCTTGGATACTTTAGAACCAAGTCTGCCTTCTCGAAACATTCCTTACAAGATGGATTCAATCCAGCGCCAGCCCTTTCAACCTCTGGAGCTGTGGCGTGACGGGACGCCCGATTGGGCGACTTTGGAAAGAACATCTCATCCTTCTGCGCCATCTTCTACGCCCCAGCCCGATCCAGCGATAACCCCGTCTACTCTGGCTCTGCCTCGTCCAGCGCTGCAGAAAGATCAAATTGAAGTTCAGACAATTCACCCGGTCTTTCGAGACCCCTGGCAGACGTATGAGGCGATCGTGGTGATTTTTCAAGGACAGTCTGTCTTTCTGGCCCGACACAGGAAAAGCAAAGCAACACTCGTCAATATCCATCTTTTGAAGCAACAATCCTCATCCATCAAGCCATTGCTGGAAACAATCAGCCAATTATCTCACCCCAGCTTTCTAGGCCTGGTAGCGTGCTATTGTTGGGAGGAGCAGGTGTTTCTGGTCCGGGAGCCAGTAGAGCTCTCGGTGAGTCACATCCTCGCATCAAGGTGCACTATCACTGAGGGTGAGATTGCTGCAATTGTTCGGCCGGTACGTACTACTCTCAAGGGTCGACATGAAAAGCCAAACGATGCTCATGCCCGATAGGTCCTCGAAGGAATTCAATATCTGCGCTGCCAGGGGAGAGCACTTGCAGTCTTAAGTGCTGATACCATGTTACTCACGGAGTTCGGTGGTGTCAGGATCGGTGGGTAGATACCCGAGCATAACTGGCGGACCAGGTGAGCATGAGATCCTGACAATTGGCAATGTGGCAGCGGGAGTGGAGCAAATTTGCCAGATCGATGCAGCCGAGATGGACGCAGCCACGATGAAGCTGTTTGCTTTGGCGGAGGTGGTAGAGAGACTGATCATGAAGAATCCTTCGCAATACCCATGGAGTGCCGAAGTTAAGGGTCTGCCTGACAAGCTGAAACGATGCAATTCACCGGAGAAGCTGCTACGCGTAAGCCTTGACCGCCCAGCCCTTTGAGCCACATGCTGACCAATCAGAGCAAATTGTTCGAGCAATCGGGGGACGAGGGCGAATTGAAGATGCTGGTGAACGCGGCCAACAAGACAGCTTATCACAATCTAGAATCGTTCAAGCGCATATGAGCGTAATGATGCGCCGTTGCGGAGGACATCAGTTCCTCTTATCAGTTGGCTGGCGATATAATACGATCGGAATGTTTCGTTCTACGGCTGATGGTGCAGAAATTGGAGGCAATTTGCAGCTCCATCTGAGATCCTTGCGATGTCTTTCTTGGTATAGCCAAACATCATCCACGTTCCACTGACTAGCAAAGTACTCACTACGATTACTTTTACCGCCGGATATTACCATATACTTCTGGTCCCTCTTAATCTGAATGGATTTGTCACTACCACTGCCTTCGACCCTGCTCTCAATGTGCGCTGTACGCTTTGCAATTGAATTCAAATACACATGTATGAAGGTAAGCAGCTCATTGAGATTGTACGATTGAGTGAAGGCAACAGGTGATGATTAGTCAATCTACGAATCAATATGCGCATCGTCTTTTGTCTTGTGTTATTAATTCTCGTTCTCAGACTGAATAAGATACCATAAAAGACAGCCAGTGAGCTGTTCTGGTGGAAAAACATTGTCAGACATGGGAGAATCTCACCCGCTTTGTTGGTAGCTGAATTTGGCCTCTTCCGTAAAGATAGCTGTCCTCGCCTCCATTCCCAGCAAATACGTTATCCTTTGAATCCCTCTCGGGGGGCTCAGCGAATATGAAATCTAGGAGCAGATCTTTAACGGAGTTCTTATTGCTGATGCATGCCTCGATCCATGGCGAGAATCCGTCGAGGTCCTTAATATCGGGGTTGGCGCCTCTTGAGAGTAGTAGGCTCGCCACTTCTCTGTTGCCTCGGTAGACAGCAAGCCAGAGCACTGTTTGGCCCTGACAATTTGGAAGATCAATCTTAACACGAGGGTGTTGAAGGAGCCGGTTCACGACCGCAAGTGACCCATTCTCCACGCCGTACCACAAAGCACACAGGCCGTTCGCGTTTCTCGTATTCACGCGCGGCTCTCTCTTACGCAGCAAGAGACTGGTAACCAGGTCTGAACCATATTTTGCGGCTGTCATGAGAGGAGAGAAATTATCGACCATCGCATCTACGTCGGCTTGGTAAGAAAGCAAGGTCTTTGCAAAGGCACGATTGTTGGTTTTGGCGGCCCAATGAAGCGCAGAGCTGTTTTGGTGCCTGATGTTATATTTGATCAGGGCTAGGCGTAGCTTGGGGTAGAGTGTTGAATGTGTACGAGCAAGGGCAGAAATATCGCTTCCCTGCAAAGTGCTGGCTATGATCCAAAGGATCTCTGTTGGGCAGTCGAGGATAGAAATCTGCATGACATTGTCAGCATTTGGAAGGATCCTCTCATTCCAACTGTTCATACCATGTTTTTGGGCGCTCGATTTCAGTTTGTGAAAGGGGGCAAAACGTGCTGCTTAGAAAACTTTGGTTAGTTCGAATATGACGGTGATGGTAATGAATTGTTGGGTGTCTTTGAATTGTAACTCCAGGCAAGTGCGAGATGACGAGGTAAAGGAGAAGCTTAAATAACACTGGTGGCCACCGGCCAAGCATCAGTTTTCTCCCACCCACCGACGTAGCAACGGGCTAGTGGTCCTGGGAACGCTGTCTGAGCATTGAGGAGTTTCGTATTCCTGGGAGCGTCTCCTTGGGTTCTGAAATGTTGCTCAGCTCTATGGAGTCCAGATCCATAGGAAACATGATCTTTATGGGATTCCCATGATTGAGATTCTACGGTATTTGTGCATTTAGAGGAAGGTCCAGACTTGGTCCAGCTAAAATAAAAGACCAGCCCAATCATGATCTGTGTACCAGGCGATGACGTTACACTCTCAATTGAAAGCTTATTAGCTTCCAGATCAAACCCAATGCCAGTTTTGAATCATCTGTCGACCCATAGCTGACGGACCTTGTCTGGGATGTTAACTCCAATGCTTGAGATCTGATTTTATGTTAGGGCAGTCCTGAAAGGCGAGTAAAGCAGCTGATTTGTCTGATTCGGGCCATCGCACACGGTCCTCACTAGACTTGTCTGGCAGTGCACATGTTTATGGCGTTCAAACGCACTGGTTCGGTTTCATGGTCTTCATCTACAGGGACATCGATATATACTTGATCACGTGTAATCGCTTGAGTCCTCGAATATGATCCCAGGAACGTGTCTCTCACTCGCGAGATTGGAAGCTGGATCTGAATTGGGTCAACAATATTAGGAATGCGAATTAAAACGCAAGTGCGAGCAACAGAGAGAAGAAACGATTAACTGGGTGAAATTATGGTGTGAAGACACCGTTTGAAGAGAGAAAGAGATGTTGATGAACGATCAAGTGCAACAGGTATTTGTAAATTGACCGAATATGCACAATCAACGCTGCTTTCCACGATATCAGCAATACTGTAAAAAAGAACAAAAACATAGTGGTACTGCATAAGACCAAAGCTCAACGGGCAAGAAATTTGCAGCCGGTGACTATATGGTTGAGACGTGATGTTGACCGCAATTTTGCATCGTTACGCGAGGAAAATGTTCAGCTGTAACATGCCAGAAGTATGGCAGAAATGCAGAAGTCGTCACACCTTCCATGCTCAATGAGTTCATTGTTCGGGTCTGATGCGTTGGAAAGGCTGCAAGGGGGCCTAGTGAGTGTAGCTGGTTCAAGGCAAGTGGAATGGAAATACCCTACCAAGCCCGATTTCACCGCCATTTCATGAAGTTGGGGCGCAAATTAAAAGAACACTCTTTGTAGGAGAATTCTAGAGCATATTTATTCTGACTTGAGTCCGACCTACCCCACAATTTTCTTCTTCTTTCCCGCATCATTATATCTCTGCCCCCTGAGTCGGAAATGGCATCATCTCCCACGATCAAATCACCTCACGAAAATCTCTGCAACTCCTTACGGGGACAGAGTTTCTTTATACCAAACCTCTACGACACATTTCCAGCTTGGCATTTCAGGATCAATGGCCATTACGAGGGATCCAAGAAATACTATCGTGATTGGGCACACCGGTAAAAATCATGAGATACTTACCTGTGAGAAACGATGCTGATCCAAATATGACAGTTGGATCAAAGATGCTAAGCTTCGGACCAAGGTTCTCGAAGGGGACTTCCTTCTTTGTGGCGCTGTCTTCTTTCCAGATGCAGCCATGGAGGAATTTCGGACACTTGCGGATTTGATGGCTTGGGTTAGTTCTATGTATGCCATTACTTACATCATTTGCTAATCCGTGAGGTAGATGTGGGTGTGCGACGACCGTATAGTTTTGACAATGCTGCACATGCTTGAAGAATTTATTCTAATATAAATCTAGAGGTTGACTGTGGACTGCTAGCAGAAAACAAAACAAGAACTATGGAATTTGTTGCACAGACGATTGAATGCGCAAAAACTTCTTTGGATGGTGCATCATGCGACACGACAATTCCACATTTCGAATGGGATTCGATTAATTGCCTCTACAATATATGCAGGAGGATCAGGTTAGGATCGAGTCAAGGTATGTTATGGTTTTTGATACAGCAGAATAAGAATTACTTTCCTTGTAGATTACTAAGTGTTCACCAGCTACATCACAGAGGTTCAAGGATGAGATAATGAATAGCCTACGCGGGCTATATGCGATACAGAAACAACATCACTCCGGGAATCTACCTACAATTGATGAGTACTGGGAAACTCGAAAGAGTACTAGTGCTGTCAAACCAACATTGGCCTTGATAGAGTTTGCCTCCCCAGAATCGATTCCATGATTCTACATTACATTAACACAGATCCAGATACGCAAACAAATTCAGGCTCCCTTCTTGGATTCTTGAACATGCCACGATGGCATCGTTGTTGGATCACATATGTGCGATTATCACAATGTAAGTGGAGATAGTTATATCTGATAGTATGAACGTTATGGCTAAGACGATCTTGCTAGTACTAACGATATATTTTCTGTCGAGAAGGAGATGGTACATGCTTCTATCTATTACTCCCAGAAATCCATTGGACTAAGACTTATCATTGCAGTCCGAGAAATATATTGAAAACCTCCCCATGCTTCTGGCATATCACGAAGAAATAGGTATTCAATCTGCGATTGATCGGAGTCTCTGTCACTTGGAAGAGCACTATGTAGCCTTTCAGGAGTGCGAGGGTATTCTTTCCAAACTTTCTGTCGAATACGGTGATGTTATTTCACAGTACATAGACGGATGCAAAGCCATATGTATTGGCATTGTTTATTTTTGGTAAGTCATGTGCATCGCAATTTTTGATGATCTATTCTTACTTGCGAAGCTACAATTCAGGAAGATATACAAGAAATGCAGAGGCCTTGTCTGATGGTAGACTTTTAGTCAAGCTTTGAGTCAATATAATGAGAGTGCGAATCTATTTTATGCAGTGATACAGAATACGACTCGTTTAGGGGTCGTTGGTTAGGAAACTCAATATTTCAGTCTTTCAATTCCCAAGTGTTTACCAATTCCAAAGTATGGTATAGATAAATTTACCGGGGGACTAAACTGCCTTGTCAGCGAAGATGCTGATGAATCAGCAGTCGACTAAAGCCTTCGATCTCTCCCATTGGGGTTTTCTGGGCGAGAATATGCTTAATTTTCTAGTTCTGGATTGTTGCTTCCCAAATTGAATTGACCAAAAAGTTTCTCCATTCCACTTCCTCGGCCCCTCGAGCATTGGAATTCTCGTTCGTGGACTTGGACGCCATGATGTCTTTGGATCGTTGGTTGTATTCGTTGTCTTTGTTGTCGGGGTTGGGGCTACGTAATGTGAGGGTATCACGTATATATAGAAAGGAATATTGTCTTCAGATGAATTATCTATATTAATAATAACTATAGTTGAACTCTAGATACAAGATGTAGTGCGAGGAAGCAAAAGAGACAACAGGCTTCCTCGCGATCAGGGGAACCCATATGTACCATGTGGATCCTGCAGATCATACAGTATTGTGTAACATAAGTACAGTACAAGGTCATTTCCACAAAGCGGTCTGCAGAGTGGGGGGTATCGACAATCATCCTATCAGGACTTCACGCATCTCGGTTTTATTTTCCAGGAATCAATATCGAAGAGTGTGGAGGTTAAACTTGATTTCGAAAATCACTGTATCTAGATTCCCCTGATCCTTGGCCGATAACTAGCCGTAGCTGACATAAGCCAACCAGGATGGAGGACTTGGACCGGAGGCCTGGGAAATATGGCAGAAAAGTGGGCATGCCACGGGCTTGTCCGAGAGGACGTCGAACTTGGGTAGCAGGGTGAAATAAATTCTTGCAGTAGATTTTGGGGGGTGCCTAGGTATTAGAAAATGCGCGTGGCTTGGAGTGGAGACTGTTATCTAGCCAGTAATATTCAATAAACACCCTACTTCTTTCACTTGTTCTAACAAGAAAATGAATGAATTCGTTTATTTACTATTTTCGACCATGCTGTACTCGGATTTCTGAGGCAACCAATTAGTTGGTTTAATCATCGGCTGCAAGTTTACTTGCCCGTTGTCCTTCATGTTATCTCCATTCATCAGCTAGTCGATGATTTTTCCTTTATTCTACTGACATGTGTCGTGGAAAGCAACGTTTTGAGCCAACTCCCAAATAACCGTCGCATTTTATCGTTCACCAACATCATCTGTCTCTTCAAACGGTGTCTTTACACGATATTTTTGCCCAGTTAACCACCTCTTCCTTCTGTTGCCCGCACTTATAGCCCGCATTTTAAATTGTATTCCTAATATTGATTACCCATTCCAGATCCCACATTTTATGTCGCGAGACCCTCACGTTTCTGGGATTATATTCGACCCCAGGATCCATGACTGGCGGTGTGGTCTGTCACGTGTGTGGTCTAGCCATCTTAGGTTAGGCGCAGTCTGCCCAGCAGAATGTCTAGCAGCAATGGCTTCGAGCTTTGAGCACAATTACACGACCAAACCCTTGGCTGATAGGGCTAGGCTCTGGTAGTAGTGCTGTAGTACCTGTATGGAAGCATAAGTTGTTTTCCGCGTACAAGTGCGGTTGGCATACAACAGATGCAACAAAGGTTGTAAAAGGTGACCTCAGATATATATAATGCATAGTATGATTTGAAGTTTCAACCACGAACCTAGAGAACATGGCTGTCCACGGCCTAGGCGAGCCCTCCGCGCTCGCTACCTCCTTCTTATATGGCATAAATCTACCACCCGCATTTTCACACGTAAAAACGCGTCCTTTGCACGGTGATAACCGCGTTGCGATGGGCGCAAAGTGATGTTTTCCCAAAACGGGGGTTCAACTTCGGATCCACTCAACAGCACCCATTGGCCAGAGCGCTAGCGCTCGTTGGTTAATGCGAACACGCGACCACATTGTCAGTCAAGCCACCTCGTCGCGTAGCGGAGCCTGCGATATTCCTAGCGCCATGCTGTCTGTGCTATCACCAGATTCACCTTGTCTGCATCCATGCAAATTTGGCCTGCTCCGCTCCTGGGCTTGATGATCCTGCAAAACCTGCATAGCTTTAGTGATCCCATTTGTGACACGAATCAACTCGTCTTCTAGGTGAGTTGCTCGAGATGAACTATTTTCCAACTCGTCCTGAAGCCGACGAATTTTTGCGTGTAATGTGCGATTCTCGCCGAGGGACTCCTGGAGATGGATGCTCGTGCGGTCAAACTCGTTCTTCATTTTATGATTGGCGCATTCCAGCTCGCGGATCTTTGCCGTGAAAGAGCCGCTTTCCTCCTCGTCTGTACGGGCTGGCCCAGACTATATCCAAATTTAGTGTTGCATTGGCCAAGTGTAGGGATCGCAAGGCTCACCTCTTCTCTTGGCGGGTGGTCCCGTTCTAACTGGGCAACCTGTAGCGTCTGCGGAGTAACTGCCTCAAGCGACCGGCCCAGTTCTTCGCAAATGGACCTGTACAGGCCGACACTTCCACTGCCCAAGTTGGACTGCAACAGGCTCTTCTTGGATTCCGTCACCGACCAAGCGTATCCATCCCCGGCCGATGGCTGTAGACGGACCTGGCTGGGAGCGACGACAAGGCCAAGTCGGTCATCTGACGCGGGTTAGTTTCGCTCATTTCGCTCACCCGGCGGAGAGAAGACCATAACATACATATATGGGCTGCCAATGCCTCACGGCACTGTTGTCTGAAGAAAGCGCGCTTCTCATTGCTGGTGAGGACCATGGTTGTCTTCGATCCGTCAGGCAGGACTGCAAGCACTTTGATGTATGTTCAGTTCAGGCGTCCATGATCTTATGCATTGAGGAGTCATCGGTTGAAGACGACCTGATTGTCGTTCAAGCATGAACACCCCAGTGGGGCCAACCGGTTACCGATGACCACTGTTGACCGTTGGAAATTGTCAGCTGACTATGAAGTTCGGTCAGCGTTGATTTAATCACGACAATTGTATTAGCAATATTCGTCAGATTTGTGACCATAACCTGGAGGATTGACTCTTTCGACCATGAGTCCACATCCACCGCATTTCACCCTCGCTCTCGGTTGATGTTATCTAACTTCGCTTCTGCCGCTTGTTAGACCAGTCGGGCGGCCCTTCCATCCAAACCACGCTGGGTGATGCGACTGCAGGATTCGGATTCTGCCCCGCAGGAAAGATTGGCTTGGGAGGAAGCCCGTAGATGGCTGATATTGTGTTCTCAGCGACCATAGGAAAAGTATTGTGACGAACAATCCGTGAGTGAACTCCACCAATTTACTACCTTGGCCTATGAGCCGCTGAGCGCAGCCACATGGAGCATGTCCGCCTGGACAGATGACTAGGAAAAAAGGGAGTAAGATGCTTGGAATGAGCTCAGAGGATGGCTGACAACTTACCCCTATTGCCATGTATAAGCTCGGAGCTCAAGTCCATGCACTTTTCCTCGTGAAGAACCACGTGGTATGTCACTTGTCGGCCATGTTTCCAAAATAATTCTGTCTCGTTGCCTTCCCAGCTAACCACCAACGTCCCCGGTAGAGACTGCTTCAGAACGACTCTCTGTGGCATCAACCGAAGCGTGTGCCTGACATGCTCTACAGTATGCACTTTGCTGCGGTGGGAGGTAGGTGCGGTCGAGAAAACCGTCGCCGCTAACATACTCAGGATGTTCTCAATGATATGATCACAAAAGACTACAGCGTCTTGTGCTGCCACTTCGCCGGAATCTCTGCACGAATATTGCCGGTGCAACCACTTGTGGTGGATGTTCAATGTATCGCGTTTGGAATCGAAAAAGAAATCGACATCACTCATGTTGCTTTGTACAAGGCGTATCGTCATGTGCTCTGTCTGTTTGAACATAGCTATACATGCGCGCACAGCTCTCAGTATCGCCCACGCGAACGTCGATTCTGGCGTGGCGCATAACTCTGCATCCTTGAACAGTTCGATCTGCTCTTCTTCCGCCGTTCTTATTGCTGAGCTTGGGCGTAGCAGATCCCAAAGCATTCCAGGGAGCATTGTTGGTTCCTTTTCCAGGATTTTGGAGATCATGGTAATACCCCTGTACAATGTCAGTTCACCGGAACCCCAAGCAATCTTTACCATTAACCTTAACGTGGCATTTCTCCCTATAGTAGAACTTCTTGTTATTGGCTTCACTCAGTAGGTGCTGCCATATAAGTTTCCTCGTGGACTCTTCCAGCAGCTGGTCGGCCGCTTGAGGAAAGTTTCGGAGGAGATTGATATAGATTGGGAGCATGGCCGTCTGGTGCTTTCGAATGGCAGACTCCCATATGCGCCGCACAATGTCGGCTTCTTCACATTTGTCAACCAGACTCTGTCTATCCCGACTGAACTGCCCTTTTGCGAAATTGTAACCGAACTTGAATGTCCTGGAATCAGATGGTAGTGTATTTAAGTTCGGCTTGAATCTGACCCCTAAACAGGCACTTCGACTGCATGCGAGACCACTATAGCAGGAACGGCGGCGTCCTCCTGCGCCCGTTTTATAGCACCCTCCAAGGTGGATTGTCCATGAAATACTCCTACTCTTCCGAGACGATTGGCTGTTTCAAGGCAGGAGTTGCTATCCTGGATATACCAAGCTAGATGTTTCTTGAAAGATTGTTTCAGCAGGAGGGGATATAGTCCTTGGGCATGGTCTCCCACGAGGCAAACAGAATGGAAATCTCGACGTTCCAATAGCATAGATGTCACCTGGTCTGCGAATGCGTCGATCGGTTGTCGATCCTTAAGCTGCACCGCTATCTGGTCAAGGGTCGCTTCCGGCATGTTCGACTGACTCCCTAGGACAGCAATGGCAGTGCTTCTGACGTCCGGGTCTTGATCCACGAGTCGCGGAGCTATCTTGTGGAGGGTCAATTCCGACAAGTTCGACTGGCGTCCCATGGCGTCAATGGCAGCCCGTCTGACGTCTGGATATCGATCCTCGAGTCGCGGAGCTATTTTGTTGAGGGTCACTTCCGACAAGTTCGACTGGCGCCCCAGGGCGTCAACGGCAGCCATTCTGACGTCCGAATCTTGATCCTCCAGATGCGCCGCTATCTGATTGAGGGTCACTTCCGGTAAGTTCGACTGGCGTCCTAGGGCGTCAATGGCAGCCCGCCTGATGCCTGGATATCGATCCTCGAGTCGCGGAGCTATTTTGTTGAGGGTCACTTCCGATAAGTTCGACTGGCTCTTTAGGGCTACAACGACAGCCATTCTGACGCCCCGATCTTGATCCTCGAGCCCCGCCGCTATCTCGTCAAGGATCGCTTCCGGCAAGGTTGACTGACTCCCTAGGGCAGCAATGGCAGCGCTTCTGACGTCCGAGTCTTGATTCTCTAGTCGCGCCGCCATCTGATTAAGGGTCGCTTCCGGCAAGTCCGATTGGCGCCCAAGGACTTCAACGGCAGCCATTCTGACGTCTGAATCTTGATCCTCCAGACGCGCCGCTATCTGATTGAGGGTCACTTCCGGTAAGTTCGACTGGCGTCCTAGGGCGTCAATGGCAGCCCGCCTGATGCCTGGATATCGATTCTCGAGTTGCGCCGCCATCTGGTCGAGAGTCACTTCTGGCGGATTCGGCTGACTCCTGAGGGCGTCAATAGCAACGCATCTGACGCGTGAATCTTGATCGTCGAGTCGCGCCGCTATCTGGTTGAGTGTTACTTCCGATAAGTTTGACTGACTCCCGAAGGCGTGAATGGCAGCGCTTCTGACGTCTGGGTCTTGATGCTCGAGTCGCGCCCCTATCTGGTTGAGGGTCACTTTCGGCAAGTCCGATTGGCGACTTAGAACCGAAACGGCAGCCATTCTGACGCCCCAAGCTTGATGCTCGAGACGCGCCGCTATCAGGTTGAGGGTCGCTTCTGGCAAGCTCGACTGGCTCCCTAGGGCTACAACGGCAGCCATTCTGACTTCCCAATCTTGATCCTCGAGTCGCGGAGCTATTTTGTTGAGGGTCACTTCCGACAAGTTCGACAGGCGCCCTAGCGCCTTAACGGCAGCCATCCTGGCATTCCAATCATGATGCCCGAGCCGCGCCGCTATTTGGTCAAGAGTCGCTTCCGGCAAGTTCGACTGGCTCCCTAGGGCGTGAATAGCACTGCTTCTGACGTCTGGATATCGATCCTCGAGCCGTCGAGCTATTTTGTTGAGGGTCACTTCCGATAAGTTCGACTGGCGTCCCAGTGCGCCAACGGCAGCCATACTGACGCCCCGATCTTGATCCTCGAGCCCCGCCGCTATCTCGTCAAGGATCGCTTCCGGCAAGTTCGACTGACTCCCTAGGGCGTTAATGGCATCCGCTCTAACGTCCGGATATGGATTCTCGAGCCGCGCTGCTATCTCGTTAAGAGCATCGTCCGGTAACTGATCCCTCGAGCTTTGGAATAAGTGCAGTACAGATCTTGTCAATTTATCTGATATCTCTCCTTGAAGCCACGAAGTTAGAATTTCCGTGACCTTAAGGGGAATTCCGTGTCGCGATTGCATCGACCCGAGAGCGATAATCCTCACTTCGTCCCCCTCTTTCTGTAGGACGTCGGCTATGGCTTGCTCGGGGAACTCTATCTCGCTTGCCAGAGTGTCGGTCCACACATAGGGACCATGCAGCCCCTGGAGCTTGTTGCATTGAAATAGTAACCATCCTGATAGATGGACTTCAATTTTCCTTCGAAGTGGAAATGGGTGGCGAACCTCGCTCAAGCAGTGTATTATAAGCCGTTGATGCGTAGGACCCAAAATATCGAGCGGCTTCTCATCGATCACCTTGAAGAAAGGGAGCGTCTCTGTCTCTCCCAGAGCATCAAGGAGGCCGGTAATAAAGCGCCACAAGATATCGTAGCGAGCGTGATATTTATGGCGCCCGAGAAACTCGACAGGGTTGACCTGCTCATTCGTTCCGCTGCTGAGCCTCAAACATGTAAGCGGTTCTCGAGTTTTCCACTGCCGCACAAAATACCGTGCCGCAAAATACTCTTGGAATGTCAGATGTATAAAATGGTAATTATGATTGCGGCCCTTTGACGAAGGGTCCGACGTCCGTAGAAAAGAGAGCCGGCCGAGCATTTCGTCAATGAAAAGATCCGTGTCGGGAAGGTTGAAATGCTCGAAGATAGCGTCGCGATGCTCTGGCCCAAAATCTACTATGTCGTTGTGCATTCCGGTGAAGGCGAGGACTTCAAGTAGGTAGATCTCAACCTGGACCAAGCTTCTGATCTCTCTCGGACGAGCGACCTGTATTTGAGCCTGGGAAATTTTCTCCAGTCTCACGGCATCCTTCTTCCACAAACGTTGCTCGATGGCTTGGTAAATAGCAGTCATAGTTTGTGGTATAGTTCCGCCATCGAAATCATCCCAGGTGAAACAGAGGGCATCTAGTTGAATCGGGATCCGCACAAGGCTCTGGATCAGTTGATGCCTCTGGATAAATGATTGGACCCCGTTGGCCTTTTTCGAATCGGCTTCACCGGTTTCCGGACTGGTAAAGGCATTTTTGATGTAGTCCTTTACTTGATCCGGGTAAAATCCGATGGTTTCCAACTCGAGGTCGAAAGTCCCTTTGAGCCAATAAGGAAGTGATCCATGTGGACGGGTGGTGATAATGACGTTGGGCTGTTTTAAGAGAGATTTGAGAAGACGGAAAACCTTCCTACTTTCATCCAATTCCCCCGAAACTTCATCCAAGCCATCGAGGATAAAGAGAGTTCTTCGGTACTTGGTGGCTTCCAATGCAGCCCACAGTTCATGGGCGAGGTCCTTACCTGTCGGGCTTTGAGAGAGATATTCCTGGAAAAGCAGATCTCCGAGATTGTATCCCTGTTTGGGCTCTATCTTCAGGTTCCGCAAGGGCACCCAAAGTATGCGGTCGAATAAGTCCTTCCACATGCCACGGTAGATAAAGTCATAGACAATCCTTTTGCACAAAGTTGTCTTCCCAACTCCGGCGCGACCTCGAATCAAGATTCTCCTTGGTTCTGTCCTAGGTCGCCACCTTGGCCGCTCACACTTTTCGAAGATTGTCCGCAAGTCGACTTGAAGATCCTTGCCTGGTGTCTCGACTTTCAGTCGAGCGGCAAGTGAGAACGGAGAAGAGAGTTGGACCTCTGTTTCCCCTGAGCGACTCTCTATTTCACCGGGCTGCTCTACCATGGTAAGATTGATATAGCACTGCTCCATCGACAAAGGCTCACCCGAAAGTCGTTCAATCTCGAGTCTGTCGGCAGTATACTCATCGCGTATCCAGTTGTCCGCTCTCTTGAGCGGAGACGCCTCACAAATCTCATCAATAAGAAGTTGAATCTTTCCCGCAACAGCAACATAACCCGGATCGTCAGGGCCATAGAACTTGTTCATCAGAATATGGGTCCGCCTAAGTGGAATTGGATTTGGGACCATGTCGAGACGGGCGGAGCCACTATCAACAAGCTAGCAAGGTATCAACAAATTGCCTATTTCAAGCCTGAAGCTCAGGATTGGTGACTCACCATCTTTGGCCTGTTCAGAATGTCCGCAAATATTGGCAAAGGCAGAGCCTTGCGTAACAGGTTGCCTTTTTCTGTCTCATAGAAGATTGCTAACTGGCAGAGTTGATCCCGTTTCTGACATATCCGCGTGAAATCTCCCACAAGGTCCTCAAGAAAGGATGTCGATACAGTAACGCTATCGAGAAGTTCAGTCACTACTCTGTCGGCGACCATAGCGTAGCTTTTTAAAAAAGCGACTCCTGCCCTAGCTATGTCCTGAAATGCAGTGCCTCTGAACGGTGTGGCGAGGAAAGTCACTGCCCCCGTTGATGTCCAGAGGGAAGCATATTCACTGTCGGGCTCGGCGGCCATTACTAGGGCCCGACTGAGGATGACGCCACCTAGACACGAGGCGATGAACAGAAGAGGTCGATTTCTGTCTGCCGCAGGTCGAGAGTGAATACCCAGCAACAGACACCTAGCAAGCTCTGTGATCGTCAAATCGATCGTGTTTTGTTGGTTGAAAAGCCTTGCTGGCCAGTCGCAATAGAAAATCCGAGCCCGTTCTACCTTCTCAGGCAGCATATCCGGATCGGCTAGCCAGTTGGCTTGCATTTTGGGGTCATTAGGGTCTTTCCATACCCACGTGTCCGGCGACTTTGTGTCGAGACCATGAATGGCAATGATATCGATGTCTGTTTTGGTATCGTCCTCGGAAGTGGGGTAGACCTGGCAAAGGTGGACACCCTGCCCCTGCCGGCTAGATTGGTTTCTTGCAGACATATCCATTATCTTTAATATCAGGATCACGGCCAAGATAATTAAAGTGAAGTATATACGGCTTAGACAATTTCGAGGTTTGAATGAATACTAAGGTGCCTTCTTTTGAAGTCACATGTATAAGAGGTGTGAGATCATCATGATACATTGAGAGTTGCAACTTGATCCTAAATAGGAATACATGTTAGAGCTGATGATTTACATTAACCTTGGATCGCCGATCGCTCGGCGCACCTGATCTAGCTGAAAGCTTGGTATCTAGTGCGCGAGCTGCGAACGGAAGATTCTGGCCGGTCTCGAGAGGATTCCACATCATGTGGATGACCCTAAGCGGTTTTCCGCAAATACTTCCCTGGGTTCCTGTTCTGTGGATGGCCATTCACACTTCGAATTTTGCTATTCAGAGTGGACTCCATATGTATATACCTGGGTCACTTCTCTGGCGGAGATTTTGTTCGTCTTGAACTCATCAAACCATGACCCTAAGTTAACTCGAATTCAATAAGATACGCCTGCTATCAAGATGCCTGAAAATGTACCATTCAACAACGATGTGTCCATTTTAAGTACATCCTACATGCCTGCTGCCTTCCGCAACGAGCACTACACGCTCTACAAGCCTACCGCAGATATTCCCCGCTTTTTAGAAAGGGACCTCTCTGTCGAAGATCTCAATAAGATTCACAAGTATTTATGGTTGGCTGGGCGACCTATGCCGCCCAGACCCCTAAATTATCAGGCCGCAACATCACGAGACATCGTCCCAGATGAGAGAATTAGCATGCATCTGGTCTGGGAGCATTCGCGACGCATCCATCTGAAGCCGATCCCGCGATACCTTCTGAATTATCAATTCTGGGTTTCCCACCTGATCTGCGCAAAAACGTGTCCGTGTTTATGCAAACGTGATTACCGCACAACAATGAGAGGGGACGGAATTTGTGCAAAAAAAAAGCTATACGAATATAGTCTTGGATTTTTACTTTCCTACATTGCGCTGATTCAATGCGAAAGTGATTTTGTGATTGCTCAAGACCATCACCTACTACCAAAAAATGTTGGATGGGAGGACTGGGTTATGTTGGTCCAGCAACTCTTGGAAAATGGAGCTGCTGACCCCAAAAATATTAATGCACGATATTTATTCGGCGAGCTTAGGCTTTCACGACTCAACAAAATATACGCTTTTCGGTACGGCAATGTGTTACGAGGTTACCAATTCCCCTATCAGACGTACGGCGAGTTGTTCCTTGCCTATCTCGCACCTCTTACCGCGACGACTATCTATGTCGCGTTGGTGTTGACGGCGATGCAGGTTGGACTGGCTACCACGCGACTGAGTGACAGCGTGCCATTCCAGAGAGCTTCGTATGGATTCACTGTATTTTCCATTCTTGGGCCGCTGATTACGATTCTGTTGGTTGGCTTTATTGGGCTCTTGCAATTTGCCAATAATCTTGTGGTGACGTGGAGATTCAAGAAGCAACGATTTGCGCGCTATGAACTGCTGAGGTCACAAAGCCCCTGACTAGCTTTCGAGTAAAAATTTCTGCTATAAATATTCCAGTTGCCTGTGTCAATACGATCTTCTGGTTACGAATAAACCAAGGTATTTGTGAGCCCAAGCAGGTATGATTGCTTGGCGCATTGCTCGAGGCTGGTAGTAATCATTCGTTTCCCCTTCCCGTATAGTGAAAGAGGATTTAGGTACGCGCTATCAAACCCTTATGTGACATTGGGCTGGAAGGTGAAATTTGCCTTCAAAATATTCAGTGGATTCCAGAGTATCTCTTCCTCTCCTGCCTCATGCTTTTTACTATGGTAGAGCTTAAAAGGGGAAAAAACCTCGAGATATAGCTAGATGTGACAATATTTTCTGATTCACGCAAGTCACGGCACAAAGCCAAAATGAAATCCAACTTCCAATAACTAGTGCATGTGTCTCTTTAAAATCTTGCACTCCCGTTACTTTAGTCCGTTCCCAGGACTTCCGAGGCTAGCTAGTTATCCGGTCGAGTGCAGTATTATATCAGTTCTTCATGGGTTCAGTCCTCATTAAAGAATAGCGACTTGTAATAAGGTGGGAGTTGTCTTATGAATGCTCGCATTTCCCCTAGGATTTCAATGTGTATAGAAATAATAGGGCAACGCACCAAAGGCTTGTATATAACGAGTTAATCAGCTGGTATGAAAAGCTGACATAATTGCCTGTGCAGCTCTTACTGGGCATAATACGCTCAACGAATCATGATGATCTCACCGCTTATACCTGCGATTTCAAAAATAAGGCATCTCAACATTAATTTAAATCTTAAATTTATCTCGGTCGTATATGCTTCACTTTAGTTCTCTTGACCGTCGCCATGAAGTTGAGAGATAATGGATATCTCTGAAGAAAAGCAACCTATCCCCAGGAAGCAGTCCGCGAGCGGGGAACGCGTGTGCATAATTTCTGGAGCCTGGACTTCTGCCTGTGAATACAGGGCCGTGCCGATTGTTGAAGCAATGAATTCTGTCACCATCGGTCATTCTCAATCAGCATCATGTCTCCAGGCGGAGAGCGAAGCCCACGCTGCTCCGGAAGGTCCAGCGAATTCTACCCGACAGGGGCAAGGTTTCCGCCTTTGCCAGGTCTACCCTACTCTCCAGGATAAGACCAAAACGGACATCGACATCATTGCCATCCATGGCCTCGACACGAAGTCGCCGGACACCTGGATATGGCGGGCCAGTAGCTCTGAGGAGCACGGCATAAACTGGCTAGCCCATCCGGATATGCTCCCTGGCAAGGCAAAACGGGCTCGGATTTTCTATTGTGACTGGCCGGCCGACCTGCTTCAGAAGTCGGTCTCCATCCCGACGACGCTTGAGGAATCCGCTCGGTACTTGCTCGGAGGCCTCAGACAGCATTTAGTAGCGAATAGACAGGCAGGACAAGAACGACCTATTCTCTTCATAGCTTCGTGTCTGGGTGGCATCATCTTGATAAAGGCTCTTGAAATCGATAATATCTATGATCGCGATAAGTACGATATCGCTCCTCTTAGGAGGGCCACGCGTGGCATCGTTTTCCTTGCCACGCCCTTCCGAGGGACTGCGTTCAAAGATATGCCCGACATAATCCTGAAGGCCTGGGCTTTGCTCCAAGACCAAACAGTGACCGCACTAATTGAATACACCAAGGGAGCGACATCCAATATCGACGATCTCGTGGACAAGTTTATTCAGCTAAGGGGAGTGGAGGATTATAACGTGTTCGTCTTCTGGGAAGCTCGTAAGACCAGCCTTCTGCGTAAATTTCATATGGCTTGGATGTTTTCGGGGTGGATACTTTCAGCCTTGCTTGTAGTGTTGGCTTCAGCCTGCGTACTGCACTGGTTTTCGCCTTGGATATTGGTCACACTCTTAATACTTTGGCTATGGGGGTTCTCGTCTTACCGACCCAAACTAGTACGTGTTGTCTTTCCGATGATATTTGCACTTGGCAAGTCCCCACGAGTGGCATGTTGCATTGGATCAGGGTGGACTGGGAAGCGCACCCTCTCGCGAAATTACTTGCCCCTTCATCCTCCTCATACTATCTTCATTAGCCTAGGAGGAGAAACATGCTAACTCTCAGTAGCTGGTCGATGAGCACTCAGCGAAGCTGCCGGGTTTCGCAGGACAACGACTTGAACGAGTCCATGTCCTAATGAACAAGTTTAGCGGCCCTACTTGTAAAGATTGGAAAGAAGTTGCGAGAAAAATTGAAGAAATTGTCACAAAAATTCGTCAGGGAACTCCTCTGAAGCAAGCGGACGCCTGGATACGTGACAATCACTATACCACAGAGAGGCTCGAGATTGAACGACTCTCGGGTGACCTGCTGCCGATGGATCAGTGCTACATCAATCTCGCCATTGTGGAGGGGCCGAGAAAAATCGCAAATTCTCTGGAGAACATGTTAGAGAAACGAAACGCAGCTCCCCAGTCCTCCCCGTTTTCCCTTTTCGCCCGACTAAACGTTGAGACGCCCGACAAGAACATTCAGGTCAAGTTGCCATCACTGTTCAATCCACGCAAAACTTCCGCCGATCACACGATACAGCCAAAGAGAATTCTGATTCGAGGTAGTGCCGGAGTCGGGAAGACTACCATGTGCAAAAAGATGGTCCATGACTTTAATCACGGAACATGGAGCGATTTGTTTGACCGCGTACTTTGGGTGCCTCTACGGAGACTGAAAGAGTGGTCGCCCCTACGATATAATCTCGAGGAACTATTTTCACACGAGTATTTCGCTCATCACGTGAGCCGCGAAATTTTCGCCAAAGAACTGCTGCGCATAGTCGAGTACCGCAATGGTGGAAGGACTCTATTTATCCTCGATGGTCTCGACGAAATTTCGCATGCCTTGGGCCGCGACGACCACAAGTCCGATTTCCTTCGGAACCTTTTGGACCAGCCCAACGTCATCATTACATCCCGGCCGCATATATCACTTCCAGTGGGTGTTCGTTCTCCCGACCTCGAACTGGAGACGATCGGATTCTACCCAGATCAGGTGAAGGAATATCTACAAAGTACCTTTACCGACCCAAAAGGAGTGGACGAGATTCAAATATTTCTCCAAAGACATCAGCTAATTCAGGGTCTCGTACGGATTCCGATTCAACTGGATGCGCTCTGTTACACCTGGGACTGTTTCGGTGGCAAAACTATGCCGCAGACCATGACCGACGTCTACAAAAGCATCGAAGGAAATCTATGGAAGAAGGATATCTTGAGATTGGAGAAAAAGCATGAAGGGACGCCGGTGTTGTGGCCTGATATCGCCGACGAAGATCGGGACAAAGTTGAAAGCTTCGACAGCGGTGAGATCTACTTCCTTGAAGGCCTCGCATTTACAGGGCTATGCAACGATGTAATAGACTTTACACCAGAGCGTCGGAAAGCTATGTCTAAGCAATTCAAACCCGGCACAAATATCTTGCTCGACAGGACGCTTCCATGCCTCTCTTTTCTGCGGACTTCGGACCCTTCAGCAAACGTCCGCAGTCGAAATTACCATTTTCTACACCTAACATTCCAAGAGTATTTTGCGGCACGGTATTTTGTGCGACAGTGGAAAGCTCGGCAAAGGCTCAAATGTCTGACACTAAACAGCGGAAATAGTACACAAACCGAGCCTGTGAGTTTTCTTCAGAGGCACAAATACAACGCTGGGTATGATATCTTCTGGCGCTTTGTCGCTGGCTTGCTTGACGCCGAGGACGACGCAGAGACGCTCCGCTTCTTCCAAACAATCGAAGAGGAGCCGTGCGACCTTCTAGGTCCCACACACCAGCGGCTAGTTATGCATTGCTTGAGCGAAGTGGTACTACAGAACGAGATGTCGAGTTTTACGCCACTTCGAACGGAACTGGAAGAGCAGATGTTACGGTGGCTGTTATTTGAATGCAAGTTTCGAGGGACATCACAGTTGGCCCGCGAAAGGGAGCTTCCACAGAGGGTCCTGGGAAAAGCCTTCAATCAATCATCTGACGATGCAGGAGCCACACTTCTAGAAGCGCTATCTAGGCAGCCAGAAATTCCACCCAGTACCTTGGAACTGGCAGTCTCGTGGCTGAGGGAAAATATCTCTGAACGCAAATGTCTTTCCATCGTTACCATGCTAAAAAGCCAACAAGGAACTTTGTCTTCCAAGGTGCTACAAGCGGTGGCGGCACGGCTCGGGGATCTAAGTAGTTATGTCCGACAGGCGGCAGTCGAGGTGCTTAGAAGGCGATCAGAGTTGCCTTACGAGGTGCTACAAGCGGTGGTGGCGCGGCTAGATGATCAAAACAGTTCTGTCCAACAGGCGGCAGTCAATGTGCTCAAAAGGCAACCAGAGCTACCTTACGAGGTGCTGCAAGACGTGGCGGCTCGCCTCGAGGATCCAGTCAATGATGTCCGACAGGCGGCAGTCGAGGTGCTCGGAGGCCGACTGCAGCTACCTGTCGAGATGCTACAAGCCGTGGCGGCACGGCTGGATGATCAAGCCTGGCTTGTCAAACTGGCGGCAGCTAAGGCGCTTATAAGGCGATCAGAGCTACCTTACGAGGTGCTACAAGGCGTGGCGGCACGGCTCGAGGATCAAGACCGGTCTGTCCGAAAAATGGCAGTCGAGCTGCTTGGCGGCCGACTAGAGCTACCTTCCGATATGCTACAAGCGGTGGCGGCGCGGCTCGATGATCAAGACTGGGTTGTCCGACAGAGGGCAGTCGAGGTGCTCGGAGGCAGACTAGAGCTACCTTCCGAGATGCTACAAGCTATAGCGGCACGGCTCGATGATCAAGACATTTCTGTCCGACCGGTGGCAGTCAAGGTGCTCGGAGGCCGACTAGAGCTACCTTCCGATATGCTACAAGCGGTGGCGGCGCGGCTCGATGATCAAGACTGGGTTGTCCGACGGGCGGCAGTCGTGCTCGGAGGCCGACCAGAGCTACCTTCCGATCTGCTACAAGCGGTGGTGGCGCGGCTAGATGATCAAGACAGTTCTGTCCGACGGGCGGCAGTCAAGGTGCTCGGCGGCCGACTAGAGCTACCTTCCCAGTTGCTACAAGCGCTGGCGGCACGGCTCGGGGATCTAAATAGTTATGTCCGACAGGCGGCAGTCGAGGTGCTTAGAAGGCCATCAGAGTTGCCTTACGAGGTGCTACAAGACGTGGCGGCACGGCTCGATGATCAATACAACTCTGTCCGACAGGCGGCAGTAGAGGTGCTCGGAGGCCGATCAGAGCTACTTTCCGGGCAAGATGCGGTGGCATGGCTCGTGGATCAAGGCAGGCTTGTCCGACAGGCGGCAGTCGAGGTGCTCGGAGGCCGACCAGAGCTACCTTCTGAGGTGCTACAAGACGTGGCGGCACGGCTCGAGGATCAAGATAGGTTTGTCCGACAGGCGGCAGTCGAGGTGCTTAGAAGGCCATCAGAGCTGCCTTACGAGGTGCTACAAGTGGTGGCGGCGCGGCTCGATGATCAAGACTGGGTTGTCCGACAGAGGGCAGTCGAGGTGCTCGGAGGCAGACTAGAGCTACCTTCCGAGATGCTACAAGCTATAGCGGCACGGCTCGATGATCAACACAGGCTTGTCCGACAGGCGGCAGTCAATGTGCTCAGAAGACAATCAGAGCTATCTTCCGATGTGCTACAAGCCGTGGCCGCGCGGCTGGATGATCAAGATAATGATGTCCGAAAGGCGGCAGTCCTGGTGGTTAGATGGCGATCAGAGCTACCTTACGAGGTGATGCAGGTCGTGGCTGAACAGCTCGAGCATTCAGACAATGATGTCCGACGGAACGCAGTCTTCGTGCTCGAAGGGCAATCAGAACTGCCTTACGAGATACTACAAGCCGTGGCGGCACGGCTCGAGGATCAAGATGAGGATGTCCGACGGATAGCGGTCAACGGGCTTAGAGGCCGATCAGAGCTGCCTTTCGAGGTGTTGCAAGCCGTGGCGGCACGGCTCGAGGATTCAAAGGAGATTGTAAAAGAGACGGCAGTCCGCGTGCTCACATTTCAACCGTCCCTGCCCTCCGATGTCGTCAACCGCCGTATGCAATCTTTATACCTGATTTTGCTACGGATATGCTTTGAGGAACATCTAGTTTGGTATATTGCGGATGATATATCCTACATAGTAGCAGCTCACAGAGAGATTCCTCTAAAGGGCCACCAAGCTCCGTTGAGTGACGTGATTCGGGAAACGCGGAACGACTTGAGCATTCCTTTACCCAACTGCGATCGGCCTCTTTAGAACAGTCAGATTACGAAAGCACTCATTTAAGGGAGAACGGCAGCCTTGGCGGGGCACAATCGGATTGTTTGGGGAGGTACAGTCGTTTAATGAAGTTGATCCGAATAAGATTCTGTGAGTCGTTCCTCTATCCTACGGGGGTGGCTGTAGTCTACTAGACTACAGGTAAGGGTTTTCCCTTCACTATGGGACAAAAAGAGTGGGTCCCGCAAGACTACATGTTCTTTTCCTCGTTAGCCTACTGAGGTCTAATGAACCCCGATCGGTCTAAACTTTTTACGAGTTATAATAGACTATGCGAAATATCTCCCATTTGCTTCGGAGCATGCGTAGCCTACTAGCTATCGAGAAAATAGCGATTGAAAATTAGAGATGTTTTGTTGGGGTGTACCATTACGGTGTACGATTAGCACCTAAGACGCCACTACAGCACTCCAGACGAATAGAACAACCTCAATAATGCTAGTCTATAATGATCAGGAGGGGTAGCAATTAATTCAGGGGGTTTTGAAGCTCCCCAGCTATCATCTTACTTTTTTTTATAAACACCATTTCACCCCAAAGTCAGCATTCGAAATTCGTCAAATTTCGTGCAATTCATTGTTATACGATATATATATATATGGTAGTCAACAATGGCAAGCCACTTCATCAACCTTCGATAGACCCAGTTCTCGTCTGTAAGCGATGCGAGCACGTTGTTAGACCGAGAGAGGTCTTACGACACCTTCAATCAGCGAATCATCGCCTTCCAATGCGTGTGGCACGTCAAATTGCGCACGTTGTTCAAACCTCCGACCGGGCGCATGAATGCGATGAATGGCAGCCCCCGACGGTCGTAGACCAGCCAATTGCTAATTTGCCAGTTTTTTCGGATGGCATTTTATGTGAAAAAGACCTATTTTGTCAATTTATCGCGCGTTCTATTGCGGCCATGCGCTACCATTGGCGTCAACAGCATGCCTGGGTCGCACCGGCTCACTATGGCGGCCGTCGGCGGCAGCAAGGTTTATCGGCGGCCGAGCAGCAAATTCAGCAATTTACGCGCATTGTTCGATGCCAGCGCCCATTTCCTAGTCGCATTGGATCTCATTATATTCGCGTACGTACGCTCGGGGTAGAGGCCATTGCCGAGGCCGATTCAATGCCCGCGAACGAGGTCGGCGACCGGCTTATTCATGAAATCGAACTAGCTTTCACGGAGGAAAGTGAGGTACCTCAGCTAATCGAGGCTAGTGAGCGCGATGACGCGAATCCATGGCTACGTCGCACGCAGTGGGCCGTCTACCTCCGTGGAATCGATCCCCAGCACCTTATTGACTGCGTCCAAGCACCCGACGCTGATTCATCCAATCAGACTGAAATGGCGGCAAGCGCTATATGGGATGCAATCGCCGCTGTCGCGAGAATTAGCCAGTTGATTTGTACGAAATCTAGCCATACAATCCGCACCGAAGCTATACGGACGGAGCGTGATCGACTGCCGCACCAGCCACTACAAGCTTACATGGATGCCGATAACATTGAGAGACACACCATGCCGTGGCAGCAAATTTTGATGTTTTTCACGCGTACCCAGGCTTCGCATGAGTGGGCCAGTCCAAATTACAAGTTCACAAGGCGCCAGCGAGCCGCATGGAACCCGCTTAGGAAACTAGCTCAGCCAGGCGCATCACCTAGGTCAGCCAGCCTAGCCACGGCTAGTTTAGACGATAATAGCGAGCATTCAGAGAGTGAGCATTCAGAGAGTGACACCGAGGATCAGCCCACGCAGCGAATCGCTAGCAAATCAGCAAAATAGCACCGATTCACCATTTCAGCTCGTTCCCATTGATTCAGCGTGTCTCAATTTTTGCATTGAGCTTTTAAACCATCAAATTAAGGTCGAGGACTATGAGAGCGCGTTGATTTGTGCCACGGCAGTGCTCGGTCGCGGTGAGGCAAGCTGGCGTACAGCAGAGAGCTATCCACCCATTTTATCGAAGCTGATCAAAATAGCACGATTTATGCTAGTCCAGAACGCAACCGAGCCCTATTGTCAGTCGCGTCTGTCTGGGAGCCGGTATCAGCTTTCCCCGACGGACATATCCCGCAACAAAAGTGTGATCTGGATTATTCTGCAAAGAAAGCCTCCAGTGGCAATTGCTTGCAGCAATCTTCACACTGTAACCGTTTCGGGTCATCACCAAGGCTGCAAGCCTGAGGCCTTCCCCATGACATCCTGCAAGGTTAGCTTTGCCTTGTTTGGACGTGTGCCCAAGCTGCAAAGTCTCAGGCTGAATTTGAGCACAAGAGTTCGACAAGGTGACACGACCTGCTTTCTTATTATATTTGATATATCCCAAGGCCCGACGGCGCTGATGCGGTTCTTAGGGTCTGGTACGATGATCGACACGCAGCCACTTTTATCTTCGTAGTACGGCTGGAAATCGAGGCGGTTTAGTTCGAAATGTTCCAAGATAGCGTCCTTCCTATCTCACGTTAGCGTGGTCGAGAACAGCCGGGTCAACCTTACCAGTTCTGATACAACTCCCGAAATGCAGCAGGAGGATCCGAGTTTTGCACATAACTCGGAGAGATAGTGAGTGTGACGCTATCTGACGCTCCAAATTCCGAGCATCCTTGTAAGTTTCGATTGCCTGCAATTCGCGTTCGAGTTGCTCGCTCACTTGTTTCTCCACCTCGCTTGGCAAACAATCTTCGCTCTCGCAAGCAGAATCACTTGCTGGTAGGTCCATCAGAGCAGTATGTAGAGGAGCAGGACAGATTCAGGACAGACCATGGGTATCCGAATTGTTGGGAATTGGCCGGGCTTTTTATAGACGAAAAGCCGTCGAATCATGTGACGAGACGTGCTCTAGACCAGATACATTAGGAAATGGGGCCTGGTGGCCCTCCAGCCTCTGATGGTTTAGACCCGAGGAACTCCCACCCCCAATTTAAACGGGCACTTTGTCAACCGTTCAAGTCCCATTTTTGCCGAACCGATTCATGGACCAAGCGTTCATCATGTCTGCTGGTCGTTGCTTCCTTGCACGGTCAGGTTCCAGACCATTAAATTCCCTCATCGCACTCTGTTTTAGAGTCACTTCTAGGCCTCTATTTGATTACCATGTTCAGGGGTCGCCAAAAACCAAAAAAAAAAAAAGGGCCCCAGCCGAGGTTTAGCGATATACCTCAAGATCTAATCGAATTAATCGAATACATGACCCTGCGGCGCCATTATTGCGACCATGGGACGGCGGGATAGAAAACCTTGGACGAGAATACAATCAACTTTCTTATGCCGCCCAAGTATGATCGGTGCCGTCAACCCTCATGGTATTGGGAGCTATTAAGTGAGGAATGGCAGTCGTCACGGATTAGAGATATGGATGACATGGCGACAATAAATAGCATCGGGAGCCCCAGTGGAAACATCACACTCTCGCGTTGTCCTGAATAATGCCTGTTATCTCTCGCCAGCCCACGCGCCGCGGACGGGAAGAACCTGACACCATGCCCCTGCTTCATCGCCGCCCTAACACGCGACCATCGCGGAAGCCGAAGGGTGCAAACAGCCCAACTCAATCAACGTCGCAGCGAGAGCAGACTACGCTTCGACTGCGGCTTCAGCGAAGGTGCTTGAATCCAGAGACCTGGTGGACGTCCCTTACTGCGTTTGGTGCGCATGATAATGTTTCCGAGGACATGCTGGAACATGAGAAGGCCATTGCCACAGAGGAGGTTCGACAGGAATGGATGCGACGTCTGCGGCCCATGCCGCACCGACAGAGTCCGCCGGTAAAGTAAGGGGGATGACACAAAAGAAGCTTGCGTTGCTCCACCTTATAGTATCTGGTGGACGAACAATGTTCTGAAAGGTCGAACCTTCAACCAACAGAGGATCTTTTGTTTTACAGTACTGCAGTGGCTCAGTCGCACTGGTTTTAGAGAGGTGTATGGCATTTCAGATTGAAGATATGAGCACGTTGTCACTTAGGAGATATAGCCAATGATTATGCACTGGTCACTCAGCTCCACACATACCCGCCTCTAGATATACATGTACACGCGCTCGAAATCAGTTACGCCGCTTAATCTCTTTGATGATTCGGTTCATCCTCAGCTGCGCTATATCTCCTCCACAGGCGGACCAGTTTACCGAAAGTGTTCTCTTCAATTGGTGCTTTTACAATAGCTATCTCTTTATAACATCTAGGTGAGCTACGTCATTGTCGATCGAACTTTTAATGCCGCTTATGGAAGGAATTTGGCTCAACAGAGAACTACGGTAAGATTTTGATTGGTAGAATATAGACGTAGATACACTAGCTTCGCACAGCCTTCCGAGCACATCTTTCCTATTTAATCAGGGTGAAAAATATAAAACAAAAGTTTTATTCCAGGTCAGTAAGGGCGACTGATGTCGGAACTTGTTGCTTAGAAACTCCCACCACCGGAAGAATAAAAGTTAGTATCTGTATTCAACAATTGGTCCTGATTTTCCGTTTTTCAGGATTGGCTTGACTGGTGGACACCCCGGTGTTTCAATAGTGAACTGCCATGTCTTTCCCTGATGCCTAGAGGATGGGAGGTTCAACACGCAAATGGGTGTAAGGGCATCTCGCTGGGAGATTGATCCTCCCACGCCAACAATGTTTGGACTTGCTAGCGTGCAAATATTTCCACTCGAGTAAAAGCAGAAGTTCGACCGAAGGGGATTCTGTTCAAACAACTTTCGGGTAGTTTTGCCCTTCAACTCCATTATCTCCGCGCCGAAGACTATGTCTTTGACATTGAGTTTGATTTTAGGAACGGTGATCTTCTTGTTAGCTGTATTATACCAGCTGAGCTTTGGCAGAGTCACTTCGTGATTTTTTTGGTCATAGCAATGGTCCGTTCGTAGACTTCGTCGTAAGGACGTAACGCCGGCGTAGCGGGTGTCACCAGACCAGTCGTTCGCCCGAAGCACTATGTAGAGCGGTTTCCCTCCTTTCTTTGCTTGGCATGAATTTGTAACGGTTCGGAGGTTAGCCCCAATGAGTACGGGATCGGAACCACAGTTAAGAGCCATTTTAATCCAGGCATCATCTTTGAATATCGTCCTCCAGAGGCGATGGGATTCATCTTCGTCAATGAAAGATAATGCATTTGCCGCTTTCTTTGCCTGGAAAGGGTCCAAAGACCGGATAATAGGGTTGAGAATTTCCCATGGAAGGTTTGGCATCGTGGTTGCGATGACGCCTGTATAAACGTACAGATTAGGCTTTTGTTGTGTGAACTGTTTCGGCCTGGGGGTTTTTACTCTTATATAGTGGACAGCCACGCGTTTCTAGGGGAGCTTCTCATTTATGGGCTTTAGGACTCTATCCTCTTTGTGTTGTTTTCGTTGATTCGAACCTCAGAGTGGCAACTGGGAAATGCTTTAGGATAATCCTGTATTCTGCCACGTGCGGTTACATTCTACGCTTGGGCCGTTGAACGGTAGACCGTAATGGTCATTGTACTATATTGCGGCATATTCGGATAAAATAACACTGCAGCCCTCAGTTTGATGCGGCTTGCTCAATAATTCTTCCTCACTAAAGCCTTGGCGGTGGGACCAGAAAAGAGTGGATATATGGACGGAACATGGAGTGAAGGTTGAAACCCGGTCGAATCCAAAGTAGCTGAGGGACTACTACCTTACTACCACGGTGACATTCGTCTGATCATGCCCCACCATCTACAGCATTGTGAGCAAAATTATAGTATAAAGGGACACTGGCTTCATGACAGAGGAATCACTATCAGCCATGGAGAATCCCAGCAAAACGCCAGAAATGACGGATACACAAGGAGAGGCACCGCTGTACACACAGTCAACTTCAACCGAGGAGCCCCCGCTTCCTGGTGTTGCAACCCCGCTGCCGGTAAGAATAAGATATGAACAGACAGGACCACGCTGACCAGACAGATCAAAACCCACGACATAGAGAAGCAGACTTTGGCTGTAGAGCCCTTCCGACCCATACTCGAGGTCTTGAAGCAAATCGAAGAAGAAGATACCGAGCTTGCATTTCGGACTGCACGTCTGGTGGGGTACATTCGCTGTTTGTGGGAGTCTTGCGTTTCCAAACATACAGATATCCAGCAGCTCGAAGAGGAGAACGAAAAACTGCGGACCGGAAATATCCAGCTATGCAACGAGGGAAACCACTTGAAGCGCAGCCAAGACGAGCAAGTAGCTCGCTTGCATGCTATTGATGATGCGTTGGATGAAGTTCGGGGAAGGCTTATCGGTGTGCTCAAAGTTTGGAACGAACTGTCTGTCGGCGACTTGGCTATTTTGCCGGAAGATGGGTTTCCTCAATCTTAGTGGTTGGCGTTGAACAGGTCAAAGTTGTTTCGAAGCTTTGCACTGCCGCAATACTTCAAGCAAGTATACGATGATAGCAAGTTTTTGCTAGTCCGCCAATAGATCCCTTGATTCTGTCTCCCTAAACTTCGTTGTCTACCACGGTTGTTGAACAAGTTGATTGCTCACCGACTGAACTTCCAGCAACTCGAACAGCGTAATATGACAAGATCATCCAGGTGATCAGAATGAATAATTGCAGCTGCCAAAGTCAGCAAAGCGTGATATTCTTCGTACGCGGCCAAAATTACCTCCAGAGATAGCAGCCAGCAGCATAGGACAACTCCGAAGACCGCAACCAGAAGAAGTACAACTGCCAATCCGATCGTGCAAAGCAAAACGCAACGTAGCTGTGATCGAGTCCGGGAATGGGCTGTTGTATGCCCATCCAGCCACCATAAAAGGAAAGCCAAGCTTAGATAATCCACAAAGTGAAGAAAGAGTACGGCATCTCGCAGTGGGAGATAAATGTAAGTACCAACTAGTGAGGCTGTAACCTTGACCAAGCATGAGGAAAGGAAAAATAGTGGAAAACAGATCATCAGTGAAGATGGTGTACTGATGAGGCTTCGTAGCAGGATGCCCATCCGGAGAGACTGATGCTTGGTGGTCAACGTAAAAACCGAGAAATAGCCTTGTAGCACGTACCACCAGTAGGAAGGGAAATATGCTGGCTATACCGAGTATTACCTCTCTTATGACCTCACTTTTTCCGGCCCAGCTCAGTCCCATATAAACTACAAGTAAAACATCTTTCGGTACAGACACTGCAAGGTCAAGGGTCAGATGTAAAGGGTTCCCCCGGACTGCTCGACGAGACAATTCGAAACGGACGAGGCTGACAATTAGCAGTGCGGTGGCTAAGGCTGTATGCACCGTAGGTGGAATCTGCATGACTGGCTGGGCTTACTGGCAACGTGCAAGTATGAAGGGACTGAATTGAATTTATACTCAGGACAACCTGCTACTGGATTAGTTATGATACCATGCATGGAGGGCTCAATAATTCTATTTTTCGATCTGTAACCATCGCCTGAAAGCTGATACCACTGAGGCTCCTTCAGGGAGCCGAATGAATGCCCCTAGGAACCGGAAGTGTGTCCCTAGGAGCACAGAAGCTCCCGGGAACACATACTTGGACCCCGGGAACCAGCCTTCCGCTCCCAGGTACCAACCAGCACCTCATCAACATAGACTGCTATTGGCTACAAATGTGCTCAATAGACTAACTTTCTATACTATAAATTCTTCGAATCAACTTATTATTACGATTATATCTCTCGGGTCCGAGCGGGATCGTACCATCCTCCCTGGAGCCTGTTGACCGGTCATGTCTTC